AAGATGACATTTCCACCTTGGTTTCTGCAAGCTTCCCTGTCGTTGTGATCCTGCTTCCATTTCCTTTTTCAGATTTGCTGTACAGGTAGTCCTCAACTTAACGACCATAATTGAGTCCAAAATTTCTGTTGCTCAGTAAGACAATAGTTAAGTGACGTTTGCCGCCATTTTATGACCTCTCTTGACACCGTTAAGTGAATCCCTGCAGTTGCTAAGCTAATAACACAGGTTGTTAAGTGAGTCAATGACTTCCCCATTGACTTTGCTTGTCAGGTCACAAAAGGGGATCACGTGACCCCGGGACTCGGTGACCGTCGTAAATATGCGTCTGAATTTTGATCAGCTGACCATGGGGGTGCTGCAACAGTCATAAGTGTGAAAAATGGTCATAAGTCACTTTTGTCAGTGTCGTCGTAGCTTTGAATGGTCACTGAATGAACTGTCGTATGTCAAGGACTACCTGTACAGCTCTGTTAATTATATTTTATGGCTGTTGCATTGTTTAATTGCTGAATCAATTAACCAGACCTACATTGAGTAAAGGTGATTCCCCAGATTAATTGGGGTTTTTTTCCCCTAGGCAGTCCTAGACTTTGAAGAGCATACTTGAGTTTCATCAGTACTGGATTCCAAATTAAACACTCCCCAACAGATGACTGCCTAGTCTTCGTTTGATCCTATCTCATGAAAGGGAAGTCCGGTGCTTTTCTGGATCCTTAGTTCTGTCCATCTGCTCTTAACAGTTTGGAAGTTCTCTCTAAGGGTTAGTTGGGCTTTGCCTCCCTTCCACCATATCTGTAAATCAGGAACAGATCTTGGTTTTGTTCTGTGTGACATCCTAGCTGCTATTTGAAGTATGCTTTTAAGTCACTTGGTTTTCCATATATGCCTTATTTTCCAGGCCTTGATCTTTGTGTTTCCTTCATTTACTCTGAAATGCTGCCTAGGACACAAGTCTTAATATAACTTACTAGGACTCTTTCTTTTAGACTTCTATCTCAGATGTTTTGATGACACTGCACTCAAACAATCTGTTAAATAGTGAAAAAATATGTAACTTGTTTACTGGCCCCGTTTTCCACCAATGATGGTAGCCTTCAAATCCTTGGTTAGTAAGAGATATAGCAAGCAAGGTTTTTTTTGTATTGCTTTTAATCTATAAGCTGGAAAAAGGGAAACAGTTACCAGATGCAGAAAATTAAAACCCAAACCAGGAAAGAGAGTTCGAAAAAGCCATATTGAAATAGATGGATATAAAAGAACAAATTGTGGCCTTAAACAAGTAGACCTTGGTCTGTGTTGCATCCTGTCAGTTTAGAAACCAAAACTGGTTTCCTAAAAGAATACCTGCTCTTTAAAGACAAAAGGTGCTTTTTAAGGTTTTCTCCATGTTCAGATTCTTGCAGATGCATTTGTTTTGTTATACCAACAAAAGAGCTTAATCACCTTCAAAGGGCTGACATTCTTAATTACAGCATTCAATCAAAGCAAGAAAGAACGGGGCATGTTTTAATCTCTCCCAAACCGATCTTAACAAAATAGAACTTGCTCAGTCTGATACAGGCAGAAGTTCCTCCTGCATTCTTTTTTTAAGGCTCTTCTCAACTGGGTTTTCTCAAGATTCACGGGGCTTACAACGCTGAGCATCTTCAGCCAAGGTGGAATTGTAAACTGTACATCTGCCCAATTGGGAAAGGTTGGTCTGTCCAAATGGACCACTTGGGCCATACTAGGCTTTCACCGAAGCTCTTGCTAGGATAGCCCAGGGTGACCAGGGTTTCCCCCAGATCAGGGGTAGGCAACCTTGGCTCTTTTATGACTCGTGGACTTCAACTCCCAGAATTCCTGAGCCAGCATGGGGGAACTATGGCCCCTTCATGACTCCTGGACTTCAACTCCCAGAATTCCTGAGCCAGCATGGCTCAGCTTGGAAACCTCTCCCTTTCCCTTCAGCATGGCTGGCTCAGGAATTCTGGGAGTTGAAGTCCACGAGTCATACAAGAACCGAGGTTGCCTACTCCTGCCCTAGATCATGGAGGGGGTAGCTTCTGGAAGAGAACAGAAGGTTCTTCCCGTGATCTGTTTGGGGAAAATAAAACCAGCCATTTGAGTAGAGCAGGGTTGAATATATTTGCTCCCTGGAATTGCTTGTAAAAATAATAAAGGTGGGATAAAGGTAAGGTAAAGGAGTCCTGCGGATTTTATTCTGCTAGCCCAGGGGTAGGCATCCTTGGCTCTTTTAGGACTCGTGGACTTCAACTCCCAGAATTCCTGAGCCAGTCATGCTGAGGGGAAAGGGAGAGGTTTCCAAGCTGAGCCATGCTGGCTCAGGAATTCTGGGAGTTGAAGTCCACGAGTCATGAAGGGGCCAAGGTTACCTACCTCTGAACTAGGCCCTTTTATGACTGGTAGACTTCAACTCCCAGAATTCCTGGGTCAGCATGGCTCAGCTTGGAAACCTCTCTCTTTCCCCTCAGCATAGCTGGCTCAGGAATTCTGGGGGTTGAAGTCCACGAGTCATAAAAGAGCCAAGGTTGCCTACCCCTGTTCTAGGACGTCTTCTTTTCCTCTCCCCTGCTCTTTCCTTTCCCAGCCCGGCCTGTAGCCATGCTGTTTCCTGGTGGCCTCTCTTCTAAGGACTACCCAGCTTCAGGCCTGCTGTGGTTTTTGAGAGAAGCCAAGGTTTCTTGTTTCTTCCTGTAGGAGAGCACATTCCCAGGTGGCTGCCAGTCGCATCCCAAAATAGTCAACCGAGTGATCAGGAGATCCTGTGATGAGGCGGAGGACCCAACATATCCCCTGTCTGGCTTCGCCTCCATTCATCAGTCTGTGCGCTGGGGCTGCCAGCGGGAAAGCGAAGTAGGGCACGACGTTTGGCCGCTGGCATCTCTCGCCTCGGAGAGCGACAGGTGAACACCCACCTCCTTCTTAGGGCAGGTATGGCACTCTTGCTCCTGCAGTGGGATAGATCACCAAGCAGGGTCACCTGGCGCTATGGCTGAGGGCTCTTGTGCCTCTCTTCCCAGATCTCACCTTTGGAAGAAGCTCTGTCGGGGTTCAGAAGCCTGGTTTTTTGAAACAGGATACCTGCTGTCCTGGAAAGCCAAGTGGAGGGGCTTGTTTTGAGCGGGAAGAGAAGGAGGGGAACGCCATAACAGTGTGGGAAGATAGAATGTCAGCCTTGGGCGGCTATTTCCATCTGTAGCTGTAACACGAACTCCGGCACAGCCTAGTGACACACAGTCCTGGATTTGGCCTTGCTGTAATCCTTCAGCCTTTTTCTCATCATGCCGGGACTCGCAACAGCAGCCAAGGAAGCCTCTGGGGTTGGTTAGGGGGGGGGGAAGCAGGAGAGATCCTGGCTAGATTCCCATTCAATGCTTCAAATGTTAAACTGTAGTTTATAAACACAACTGCCTAATTGCATAACCAGGATAAGCCATACCTTGGTGTAACGGAGCCAGCAATCTTCTCCAAACGTTTGCTGCGGTTATGATAGAATATAATAGAATGACAAGAGTTGGAAGGGACCTTGTAGGTCATCTAGTCCAACCCCCCCGCCCAAGCAGGAGACCCTACACCATTTCTGACAGATGGCAGCCCAGTCCCTTCCTGAAAGCTTCCAGTGATGAAGCTCCCACAACATCTAAAGGCAACTTCTGTTCCATTGCTTGATTGTTCTCACTGTCAGGAAATTTCTCCTTATTGAATCTCTCCTTGATCAGTTTCCATCTGTTATTCCTTGTCTGGCCTTCAGGTGCTTTGGAAAATAGGTTGACCCCCTCCTCTCTGTGACACCCCCTCAAATCTTGGAACACTGCTATCATGTCTCTCCTGGTCCTTCACTAAACTAGCCATTCCCAGTTGCTGTAACCGTTCTTCATATGTTTTAGCCTCCAGTCCCCATGATTTCTTTCATGAGCTCATAGCAGGAATAAACTCTGGATGATCTGCTTTAAATGTCATTGTAACATATTGCCTGTGCATTAATCCCAATGGCTTCCCTAGGTAGTCACTATTACATGATGATGTTCACACAACATGTTTCCTAGATGTCTTAGAGGGGCCAAAGATTAAGTTTATTGTTTCCTTTGGTTAGAAGTGTTGGGTAAGCCAGCCTGTTAAGTTAGTTCATAGTTCAGTCTATGTACAAACCTAGCAAAAGGGTTTAATTAGTTATCAGGTTAAGTGTTGTGTGAATGCAGCCATTCAGTTCTTTAAACATGAGGCCCTCTAGGACTCAGATATCCATGTTCAAGGAATTCACATTTCCCTTGGAGATTGAATACATCCTGCCTTTCTACTTTAGTCATCGGCACCCAGCAGAAGACCTGATAATGTCATAGCTCATCATGGTGTGTCATTGTGCAACTCCTCCACTTTCTGATGTGGTGACATTGGGCACCCAGATGCTGTCACCTGGGGGGAATCGTGACCAACGCTTCTAAAATTCCTCCCCCTAAATTGATTATTAATTCTACTAAGGCGGAAGGTCTCAGATTGTATTCCGTAAGAAAATTAGGGTCTAATACGTCAAACCATTCTTCCCACTTCTGGGCCGGGCTGGGAAGTCCAACAATCGTGGTTCTTGGTCATCCTCTATCCACTCAGCAACGTGGAATTAATTTGACATTTTCAAAAATGGGATTTTGTGGAAGTGTATCTGAAATGAGGCTTGCCTCGTTTCAATTTTTCTCCCCCAAAAGGTCAGCACTTGATTCTCATTCTTGTCTTCGGAATGAAAACTCCCAGGTGACAAGAAACATTTTCCTAAAATGAGTGAGTCAGCCTCAGGTGCATGATTCTGTATTTAATGCTCCTACATTCTCCATTACTCAAGCATAAATATACAAATTGCTGTTAGCTAATGGTGGAAGGCAGCCTATTATGAAAAAATGTCAGATTCAAAGTCTTGACTACTAACTAGCTTTAGAAAGCTGACTTGGTGCAAAGCGGCATGAATCTGGAAATCTTGGATCTTCTTAATGTGTTGGACTCTTAATGCCCATTAGGGCCACTAGCAAGGGACTGGGGGAGTCTTAGTCCCGAACACACCCTAGACCAGGGGTCCTCAACCGTGGCAAGTTTAAGACTTGTGGACTTCAACTCCCAGGCATTTCTCCTGGGCTGATTGGGAAAGCCAATCTGGTTGCATCAAAAGCTTGGGAAACCCAACAACTGAAATGTTGAATTAATGGCCGGTTCCCTCCCTCTGTCCCTCTGGATATGGGCAGTCACTCGAGGCATTTAATGAAGTTATTTTAGCGGGCGTTACATGGCACTCCAGCAATCCAGTTGCTGGGCCCAGAGGAGTTTTGGATGGCAGCCTAAATCCACCCTTCCCAGGACGGAATAAATGCAGCTGCCCAGGCAAGTCGCCGGAGAGGGCATTGCGGCTCTGGAAGGGAGGACCATGGAGATCCTCAGCATTCAGCAGTTGGTAAGGCTGAGAAGAATTGGGCTGGGTGGGCGGAGGGGGGGGGACTGCAGATAATAAAGCATATGAGAGAGAGAGAGAGAGATGATGGATGGATGGATAGATAGATAGATGATAGATGATAAATTGATGATAGATAGATATAGATGGATGGATGGATGGATGGATGGAGAGAGAGAGATGTGGATGGATGGATGGATGGATGGATAAATATGGATGGATAGATAGATGATAGATAGATAGATAGATAGATAGATAGATAGATAGATAGATAGATAGATAGATAGATAGATAGATAGATGTGGATGGATGGATAGATATGGATGGATAGATAGATGATAGATGATAGATAGATAGATAGATAGATAGATAGATAGATAGATAGATGATAGATAGATAGATGATTATATGATAAATAATGGATAAATGCAGATAGTGATAGGGAGATAGAGAGATAGATGGATGGATGATAGGTAGATGATTATATGATAAATAATGGATAAATACAAATAGTGATAGATAGAGAGATAGATAGATAGATAGATAGATAGATAGATAGATAGATAGATAGATAGATAGATAGATAGATAGATAGATAGATGTGGATGGATAGATATGGACGGATAGATAGATGATAGATAGATAGATAGATAGATAGATAGATAGATAGATAGATAGATAGATAGATAGATAGATAACCTTATCATTTTTTACTGTGGGCACAGTGGCACACATTAAAAATGAAATGTAGTTGCTTGCTCTCAAAGCGTACACATACATAACACACATTTAAACATACTATATACAACATATGTATAGATCTACACCCTTACCTATAACATGACAAACAATTGAGGGAATTGGGTATGTGTAGTTTAACAAAGAAGAATTAGGGGTGACGTGATAGCTACCTTCCAATGCTTAAAGGGCTGTCATAGGGAAGAAGGGGTCAAGCTATTCTCCAAAGGGCAGGGCAAGAAACGATGGGTGGACGCTCATTAAAGAGGGATCCAACCTAGAACTAAGGAGAAATTTCCCAACAAAACAATAAATCAGTGGAAGAACTTATCTCCGGAATTGTGAGAGCTCCATTGCTAGAGATCTTCAGGAAAAGATAGGACAGCCATTTATCTGGGATACAATAAGGTTTCCTGTCTTGAACGGGAGGTTGGACCTGAAGGCCTTCAAGGTCTTTTCCAACACTCTTATTCTATGTTCTAATCCAGTCCAAGACAGACTCTTTGAGTTTGGGTAAGCAAAGCAGGCTGGACCTGATGGAAGAGTGGCCCACTTGTAGATCAACTCATAAAGATGTTAGGAGGGGGAGAATGCAGAGAACCCTGGGATGGGTCTTTACATCCCTCAGGCCAATTAAACTTCTGATGTCTGCTTTTGCATCACATTCGTAGGAATTTGATTAATTCAAACTCTTGATTCCAACCGCTCCCCCACCCCATTGATGAATGTGATGTGCGAAACCAGCTCGGCTTGGTTCCATGTATTGTGCGAACCTAGAAAAAATGAGCTCATGAGAAAGCTGGTTAAATATTTGATCCGAATGCAGGCAGACTCTACTCAAATTTCATTTTTTGTTTTCAAGCGGGGATCTTTTTGAAAAAACAAAACAAAGATTGCCTCTCACATAGAAACCTCTTGTGTTTCTCTCTGTGCCAATTTAGCTGATGTGTGCAGGCACTAAATTCTTCCATAGTCGGGGAAAGCCAGCGTGCATGGGGAACGGACCAGAAACTGGGTCATTTCAGTAACCGGAGCAAATCTCCGCCTTGGGCCAAGAAGGGAGCAAAATTTCTCACCGAAACTTGACAGGGAAATTAAGAATACCATCACAAATATACAACATTATGCAACTCATCAGCATTCAAGGCTGACAAAGCATGCTTCTGAAAACTTACGGATTGAAATTTCAGAATCCTTTTTGAACGTTTCTGTTTAATCTTGCAATGTTTCAGCTCTCCTGCACTGAGCTGAGATCTGGATCTGCATAAAATGTGGGGTATTTTAACTTACCATATGATGGATCCATTTTCTAGCTGGTAATGAATCATATTTTTGCCAGTAGCAAGTGATGAATAACCGTGATGAATAATGTATAATAAATGTTGCGTAAAATATAATCATATATTCATCACCGGTTCAACGTGCCTTCTCAAACTTTTGACGAAGATCAATGTTGTGATAGTTAGACCTGGCGATCAACTTAGTCCAGTTGTTTGCAGAGCTTTGGGTTGTCTGAATCCATCTCCCCAAATGTGTTTATACAACTCTAAACTAGGGTCCTATAGAATGGTAGCTTGTAGCCCAGTCTTTGTGAGAACATTATCCATTTGACTCAGACTGTTGTGTGAAACAACCAGAATACCGGTTGTTTATTGGTATGGATGTGACACACACTGTGAATAGCAATGTTCTTCTTGTCCTGGATTTGGGGTGTCACGTGTTAATGTGAACCCATGCTCCATTTCTGATCCATCTTTTCTCCCAGAGTTGAATGTTCTCTGAATAGAAATATGGGATATAAGTTGAATCAATAATTTGAAAGAGGACTTCATAGATGTGTCTTTGTGGTGCCCGGAGGCAAGTTCTTGAAGAATTGTGAGCTACAGAAGATGAATCAGCCAAGTTTTCATTCCCAGGAGCAGACATGTTTATCTGCCTGCACAACGTGTGATGTTCTTTTTTTAAAACCAAACTCGCAACCATAATCTTCCTGCTGTCTTCGGTTCTGCCTTGTTTGCGAGATGGGCTCTTCTAACAACGGTAGATTAGACTGAAATAGGAGAAATTGTTTCTGGTTCAGCCCATTAGAAAAAGTCCATCTTAAGTCATCACGTGTGTGAACCAGGCCATTCTGTTAAATCAAAATACAGGATGATTGATCGGTGCCGGGATAGGATGTTCTGTAGACCTGACAACCGTGGTTTAGGGCAGTCTTTCTCAACCTTAGCAATGTGTGGACTTCATGCAGGCTAGGAATTCTAGAAGTTGAAGTCCACACATCTTGAAGTTGCTAATTTGACAATCACAGGCTTAGGAGTTGTCCTATGCACACTTTGGGACACTGAGTAACATGTGGCTGAGATTTGATGCACTACGCCAGGGGTAGGCAACCTTGGCTCTTTTATGACTCGTGGACTTCAACTCCCAGAATTCCTGAGCCAGCCACGCTGAGGAGAAATGGAGAGGTTTCCAAACTGAGCCATGCTGGCTCAGGAATTCTGGGAGTTGAAGTCCACGAGTCATGAAGGGGCCATAGTTCCCCCATGCTGGCTCAGGAATTCTGGGAGTTGAAGTCCAACGAACCATAAAAGAGCCAAGGTTGCCTACCCCTGCCCTACGCCCTTCCTGACTTTTTTTCTCATGTATCAATACAGCTTTTTTCCATGATTTTTTTGGTCCACTGACACTTATCAGCTTAACAATTAGAAATATGGAGGAGCCTTTGACATTTTCAGCCTCGGACTGGTCAGTTTTCCTGCCCTGAATGATAACAATCCATTCAATATTCCTTCCAAATACTGGATTATATTTTGGGACGGTCTCCTTCTAAGTGGCAAGGCTGTGGCGTTTCCCTATCCCCCTTTTAAAAAGGTCCTGATGCCTCATGAACTCTGCCAAGAAGAGAGCTGCAGATTGGGGGGAAATAGTCAAGAAAATCTCTGCCTTAGAAAGAGAGAAGAGTTTACGGCACAATAAGGGATCAGAGAGGGCTGCAGGAGATGAGCCCAGTTGTTGCTGTGGTATCAATAAAGAGCTGGCTCTCGGCTCCCCCATCCCACCCCTTCCTCTATCCTCACTTGGCACGGAGCCCCCGAGAAAGCAGAAACCAGCTGTTCCAATTTAGGTTGATCCACCAATTCCCACACTTCAGGATTCCTGATTCCCAATACAATAGCACTATGTCAGGAATCAGAAGCCTCCAGTCCTTAAGCCTAATCCGCCATAATGGATTGTTTGGCCCACAAGGCCTCTCTGGAATGATAAGTAGCAGGGCTGTGATTTTGTTGCCCAGTGGTGTTCAAAAGGCCTTTCCTCTCTACATCAAGTAGGTGGAAACTTAATTTGATGGTGAGAAGTCTTGGGTCAGTTGTTAGAGCAGGCTGTTGTTTCTTCAGTTGGGTGGCCTTCACAACGCCCCAGAAAACTCTCTGAACGTTTCATGGGTAGGTGTCAACGGAGGAGAGAAGTTCTCCCCAAAACATCAACAAATCCATTCCTGGCCTTGGAGACAGCAGGGATCTTATTTTGGTGGCTGCCTCAGGCCAAAAACCTGCTTGCCCTCTTATAAAAACCCTTCAAGATTCCCAGGAGTTTGTTAGCCTAAGAAGGAAGGAAGCAAACAAACAAGCAGGTTGACCATCTTGTGGTGTCTGGACTTCCCCAGGAGAGCAGTGGAGACATTCCTTGGCTGCTTGGCCTGAGAAGGTGGGAATGCCAAGATGGGATCGGGTTTCTGTGGCAATGAGGTTGAGGACTCCTGTACCCTGAGCGATGGGCTGCTTCAGCTGGTTCATTTCAGAAGACCTTTCCAGGGAGAAGTGCTCAACTTCAGTTCCCGGGTCCCCCATTGGTCCCTAAAAAGGCCCTTCCCCAGTTGTGTTCGTTAATGAGACAGAAAGTGATTGAAAACAGGATGGCTGTCTTAACATAAAGCAAGCAGATTGGCTGGTTTTGCACATAATAATAATAATAATAATAATAATAATAATAATAATAATAATAATAATAATAATAATAATAATAATAATAATAATAATAATAAAAAAAAATAATAATAAAAAAGTTGGAAGGGACCTTGGCGGTCATCTAGTCCAACCCCCTGCTCAGGCAGGAAACCCTACACCATTTCAGACAAATGGCTGTCCAGTCTCTTCTTAAAAACTTCCAGTGTTGGAGCATTCACTGCTTCTGGAGGCAGGTTGTTCCACTGGTTAATTGTTCTCACTGTCAGGAAGTTTCTCCTTAGTTCTAGGTTGCTTCTCTCC